GTGGCGGGGATGCTGCTTCGCATCGTTTTCCTGATCACCGTCGCGGTCGTCATACTGGTGCTTCTAGTGATGGGCCTATGCTCCACCACCACCATCATAAGTTGAAGGGGGGAGGGGGTCCTCCTCCTCCCCCTCTTCTTTTTCTTCTTCTTCCACCTCCTCATCCTCCACCTCCTTCCCCCTCCAACTTATGGTGGTCATCGAGTGCCACTAGTACTGGTGCGCGTGGTTGTGCTGCATGCTGCCGTGAAGATCGCAAAGTTACTACAGGTGTCGCTTCTGCTGCTCGAACTACTGCTGGTGGTGCCGTCGACGCTGTAGTGCTCGTCGCAATGATTATGTTCGTTGCGATAGAGGTGGTGCACGTGGTACTCTCCCGTTGTGCTGGTCGATGTAGTGCTGCTGGTAGCGCTGGTGTTTCTGCGCGTCGTACTGATGGTTCCCACGGTGCTCGTCACAGTAGTGTTGATGGTGACATTGGTGCTGTTGAGCGTGGTGTTGCTGTTTGCTGTGATGTTAGCAACAGAGGTTCTACTGGTGGAGCTTCTGCTGCTCGCACTACTGCTGCTGGCAGCGTTGGTGCTCCTGCCCATGGTGTTTTTGCTTCCGGCAGTCCTCGGCGTAGTGGTACTGTTCGTGGCACTGGTGCTGCGCATAGTGCTGCCAGTTTTTGTCTAGCTACTCGCAGTTGTGCTGCTGATGGCGATGGTTGTGGTGCTGCTGGTAGTGATGCTGCTTCTTGTCAGGCCGGGCACAGCGGAGCTGCTCGTTTCGTTCGTGCCGCTGCTATACGACCCATACGTTGCGGGTCGTCGTGCGCATTTCCGCCAGGGCGCTGGAGCTGCGGCGATGTCGGCAGCCGGCGCCTGTGGGACAGGCTGGGCTCTGCCTTGGAGCGCCCGGTGTCCAGCTCAAAATCGACCCTTCTGGGCCGTGACGCTTTGCGCTGGAGTACGGGAACAAGCCCTTCCGCCTGCCACCCCCTGGCCCCCTTCCAGTCCAAGTGCATCACTTTGTGGTGTCTGTGCACCAAGGCTTGGTTGAGAAGCGAAGCGCGGAATGAAACAAATCAGGACAGCAGGGTGAACAGCAGTGAATCGTAGCACAAAGCTGCTTTCAACACTTACAATGCCTGGATTCGATTAAGTCGTCTGCTAATTCTTGATCATTTCCATAGAAGTGAATTAGGATTGAGCATGGAACCTGTCATTATAGCACCGTTCGTGTGCAACAGAACCGAGACTTGATGCTTATGCAACAGTGGACATGGTGGCCAGCAGTTTCTGGCCAGCGTTGTTTCTGAGTTGAGGCGTTCAGTCGCAGTCCAACAGATGGTCGCTTCGCTGTATTACCTTTTTCTGTCAGCCGCATTTTCCAATAATTTTGGCGAAGTGTCCCATTCGTGTTGACTTCGGTCGTTGCCGCAGTATCGAGTTCACCAGCAGGGTAAAGCTGACCTGTTTCACGACAACGTAATAAACCCAGCTCGAGTTCCCGATTGGCGGGCGAACAGTCCGATTATTTGGGGGTTATGCGTGTTTGGCCTGCTGAGGGACGTTGGAGCTCGCGCAGTCCAGCGCGAATCGCACGTCGCTGCTGGTTCCCGCCGTGTTCGTCGTGGTGGAACTGCTAGTTGTGCTTGTGTTGCTGCGCGTGGCGTTGCTGCTTCCCGTCGTGCTTGTTACTGTAGCGGTGTTGCTAGTGGCGCTGGTACTGCTTCGCGTGGCGTTACTGCTTCCTGGCGTTCTCGTCACAGTGGTGCTGTGCTGCTTGTGGCACTGGTGCTACTGCGCTTGTGTTGCTGCTTGGTGTCGTTGTGGTCACAGCTGTGTTGCTGGTCGTACTTTTGCTGCGTCGCGTGGTCCTGTTGTTTTCCGTCGTGGTCGGCCCACTTGTGTTGCTAGTGTCGCTGGTGCGGGTGCGCGTGGTGGTGTCGTTTGCCGTCGTGCTGGTCAAAGAGGCGTTGTTGGTGTCGCTTGTGTTGCTTGCGCTGCTGCGGCTGGTGGCGCTGGTGCTGGTGTTGCAACTGCGCATGGTGTTGCTGCTTCTGGTAGTGCTCGTCGCGGCGGTGCTTCTTATTGCGCTAGAGCCGGTGCGCGCGTGCAGCGGGAAACTTCTCCCACGATTGCGACGGAGGCTCTCGGCCCACCGTTGGCCGCACGACTATTGCGATTGTTGTTTTGGCCTCGGCCCCGGCCATATCCATGATTGCGAATGTGGGTTTCGCCCCAGTGCCGGCCACATCTTTGATTGCGATTTTCGTTGGCCACATCAATGATTGCGAACGTTGTTATTGCTTCAGCGCTGGCTACATCCATGATTGCCACCGTCACTCTCGCCACAGCGCCAGCCAGATCCACGACTACGATGGGTGCTGTCGCCTCAGCGCCAGCGACACATGATTGCGAGTGTTTGCCCTCGCCTCAACGCTGGCCACATCCACGATTGCGACAGTTGTTCTCGCCTCAGCGCCGGCCACAGATGTGGTTGCGTGTGTTGTTTTCGCTTCAGCGTTGGCCACATGCATCGTTGCGAGCATTGTTCTCGCCATCCTCGATGACAGTTCTCGTTGCTTCAGCGACGGCCAGCTCCTTTAACTATTTGATTCGCAAAGGGGTCAGCGATGCAGATGTCTCGTCTGCGTTGCCTGTTGCTGTGTCGTTCCATTATGGCGCACAATGGCTACACAGGGCGCCTGGCACACTGGTGTCGTCAAGCCGTTGGTCACGTTAGCTTGAATGGTTCATGTTAGCTTTGGCGAAGTGGCGACAGGAGCTGGGCCAGGTTAGGTTCGGGATTTGCTGGATAAGAGCGGGGCTTGAATCCAATAAGTTCCTGACCCTGGCCATTCTTGGTCTCCCCGGGCCCCTGCCGGCCCTTCGGACGGCCAAAAACCATTCGGAATGAACAGTTGGTCCCAGGGTCGGAGTCGAGGCCTTCATAGTTCCACGTTGTGAGACAATAGTCCCGACGTCGGGAATATGGGCCTGGGGGACGCGCACGGACAACTCCCAGGGGTACTTATGAAGAGATGCGTGGAAAGACGACGTGGGAGGCTCCCATCGGTTGCCACAGAAGGAGGTCGGTGAGGCCAGCCTGGACTTCCTCTGGGGGGAGCCAGTGGCCGATGGGGATGCGGGACGGGGGCGGTGGTTATCCAAAGGGCTACAGTCAGAGCCCCGAATCATCAGGGGTAACTCGGGTCAGGGATAACTCGGGTTCGTTTTTCGGGAATCCGAACCCGAGTTACCCCGGACCCGAGTTACCCCGGACAACTCGGGCGTCCAGAGCCCCGAATCATCAGGGGTAACTCGGGTCAGAGCTAACTCGGGTTCCTTTTTCGGGAATCCAAACCCGAGTTACCCCGGACCCGAGTTACCCCGGATAACTCGGGCGCCCAATACAGGGGTTCTTTGGGGCCCTTGGAGAGTTCGCAGGGAGGTACGAGGAGGAGGCGGAGTATGGCAGCTCTGGGGTGGGGCGGAGCAGGTGGAGGAGAATTCGTCCTCCAGGATATGGACGCACCCCGCTCCGTTCGAAACCTCGGGGCAGATGGGGGAGAGGGAGGAGAAGAAGGAAGGAGGGGTGGACTGGAAGGTGGAGGAGGGGAATGTCGAGCGAGATTGGGAATGGGGAAGGAAGATAATCAAAAGAGGGATAATGAGGCAGCTCTGGACCATTATGCTCTTTATCTTTTCTTCCGGCAGGAGGACGAGGTGGCCTCAACCAGAAAAAAGCATCGGCTTCGGTGTCGGTTCTTGTCGTGCCGGGGGTACGGATTAGGCGACGTTGCGCGAGGGCGACGATATGTCAGCAGCGGCTAGGGCAAAGTCCATCAAAATGTTTCGAGTTACGCGGGGTTGTCTGGTGGGTTGACTTGGGGCAGTCCCGCGATTGTCCTGTGATTGTCGTGTGGTTATCCCGTGGGTTGTCCCGTGTGTTGCCCCGGGGGTTGTCCCGCGGGCTGCCCCGTTGTTGTTTCGTGGTTGCCCCTTTGGATGTTCCCTGAGCTGTCCTATGAGTGTCTGGTGGGTTGTCCAGTGTTTTGCTCGTGGATTGTCCCAGGGGTTATCCCGTTGGTTGTCCCGTGGTTGTCCTGTGGGTTGCGTCGTGGTTGTTCCGCGAGTAATTCCATCGTGTCCCGTGGTGGTCCCCTGGAAACATGCAAATCGAACTGCGAGTATTTCTCCGTACGGCTATGGCATCGACATACAAGCAGAAGTGCAATTCGGAGTGCAAGTCGATCTGCAAATCGAGAAGTAAAGCGACACGCACATCGAAATATACATCACATTGCAGATCACAGTTCACATCGAAATGCAGCAACCTGCATGTAGTCGAAATGCGAAACTGCACATCGGTACGCAAACCCAAGTGTAATGGACAGGTGGGTCGAAATGCAAAGCAAACTTAGCATTGGAAGGCATTTCGAAATGCAAACAGACGTGCAAGTCGACATGCACATCGGAACACATCGGCTTGTGAATATGACTGTGAGTCTAAATCGAAATCGACATGTCAATCACCTTGCATTCGAAACGCATATCAGCATGTACATCAACGTGCAAATATGATTGCAATCAAACTGCCAGGCGAACTGCGAGCCCGGTTGAAGTCGGAATTCACTCCGTGATGCAAGTTCCTCGCCTTCCAGCTTCTCATCCAGACCGTGGTCTGCGCGGTAGACTGCCGTCTGCACCCTGAGGGCGGCGCCGGGTAAGTTCTACCTCGCAGACCAGGGCTGGACCTAATCGCTGTTCTGCTGGACTTCGGCTGTGCTCTGTTCTTCGTTTCGGCAGGGAGGCACAGGAAAACAGGTAGCGTAAGACGAAGCACAACACGAAGATATACAACGAAAGACAACGCGTAGGTCCAGCCCAGTCACGGACCACGATCTGGAGGTGGAGAGGCTCTCCACCTCGTCCGCCTTTCGCCGCCGCTGCCCTGCCCTCACCCCTCGGCCTCCTCCTCCTCGTGCACCCCGCCACCCGGCCGCGCAGGCCACCCGCGCAGCCGCACGCCAGGCAGAAGAGGACCGGCCTGCGCCATCGCTGTGTTTTCGGGCGTCCTCTCCGTCGTCGTCGTTCTCGTACTCCGCCCCCCCCCCCCTCGCCTGTCAGCCGCGCACAGAGAGAGGGGGGGGTGGGGAGGAGGGGAGGGGTGTGCTTCTCAGACGCACCTCTGCTTCTCAGAAGGCGCGGGCCTGGTCTGCAGGTGTGAGGCCGGCGCCCTCTGAGGAGCAGCCTCCTTCCGAGAAGCCCTCACCCCTCCGTCCGCCCCCTTTTGTGCGCGCCGCCAAGTCTGACAACCCTCTTCCTCTGCCGTTGGGCTTCGAGGCTCCGGGCGTCGGTCTCCCCGAGCGGGTGCGGCCCCCGCTCCTCCGCCTCCGTGTTCCCTCCGCCCCGTCCTCCCCTCCGCGCTGCCTTCTCCTTCGGTTTCTCCTTCTCCTTCGCCCGCCTCGCGATCGTGAGCATGCCTGGTATGGGCGAAAGGGAGGAACATGTCAGCACCGCTCGCCCCTGCGACCAACCAGTTTTGAATCACAAGGATGCTGTCTCTTGTCCCCGATTGCCGGTCTGGCGAGGATGGACCATCCCGCTCTGGCACACGAGCTTGCGCACTGTACGGTGGTGGCCTCCAGAGGCACGTTGCCGTGGCAGAAGCGCGGAGCGGTCAGGAAAAGACAGCGTTCTTTTGATATTGAGGGGCAGGAAGTGTGCTCGGCCGGCTCGACACGTCTATCCTCCCAGCGAAGCCTGGAGCGGAGGTCAAAGGACCCAGCACGAGCGAGGTGATCGTCCTCGCTCCTCCCTTTTCCCTTACCTTCATGTTTTGTTGTTTGATCCGCCCGCCTGCGCTCGATGCGCCGCGCCCACGAAAGCGATGCCGACGACGGAAAACACAATACACCTTAGGCGATGCTTAAGAAAACTTACATTTTCGGCCAGGGTCTCGATTATTCTTAATGTTTCAACGTAAGTCCTAAGATTTTAAAGGGAATTTTGGGTTTTTAGTCAAGTTCTGAGACTATGAATTTCTTAACCCATGATTTCTTAAGCATTTCGCAAGGTGCACCCTGAACGTTGGGATCCATGTTGGGGGATGCTTGGAGATCTCTTCTGTGACGAAGGGTTGGTTGCATGCTTCGTGGCAGACCCATGGCTCGAAGTTTCGCCTGCTGGGCGATGTCGCATTCAAAATCACGGTGCGTGCCGCAGTTCAGGATGTCGAACCATCCGGCGCCAATGAGGACGGCCAGGCCCTAGTGGAGGAAGTGCACAAAGACAGTCCCCTTGAGGGTGGACCGAGGGATGGTGCCCTTGGGGCCCTGCGCGACACCTCAGCCGAGTTGACGGCCAAGCATTGGTCCTCGCCGCCTGGAGCTTCAGTCTGCGGCATCACGATACCATTGCGCGGCGGCGGGTGGAATATGGACTTGGCCTCCCCCGCGTCGACGCAGCTTCGGCATTCACTTTCAGATGCGCGAGGTGGGCGCAGAAATATCAGGCGACGAAGAGGCCTAAGCTGCCGCGAGCTATCGCGGGCCATCCTGCCAGTCGCGCAGCCTGCAATGCGCTCGGCTAGGGAAGAGTTGGGCTGCGCGCGCGGACTCAAGGCGCGCGAACGACCCCTTTCGGTTCGAGCCCGCGGCCTTCGGAAAGCAGTTGGCTGCGAGGAGCACGGGTTGCCGCCAGTGGCGTCGCTGAAAAGAGGTCAAACGGCGGCTGGGCCCCCAGGCCATCAGCGAACTGATTGTCGCGTGCCGCGACGTCCACGGCGGAAATGCGCCGTCAGCAACCCCCAGCCAGCCTCGCGCGCGCAATAAGTGCTTCCCGGGCGCGGACTCCCCCCAGGCCGCGTCGGGGGGGAGGATGACCCGGGAGCGCGCGCGCGCGCGCTGGTAGTTGCCCGGATCGTGGGGCATTCGGCGGGCTGCCGATGCGCGCGACGCCTTCAGCTGTTGCAAGGTTCACCTAGGCCCACCGATGGTCGCGCCGCGCGAGGATATCGCGCTGGTCGGGCCAGATCTCCTGCTGCCGCGCTTGCAGGGCCCGCCGCGCGAGCCAGGTGCGAGGGGGTGGGTCGCCGCCGTCGGCGGGGCGGGCGCGGGCAACATCGACCGCGTCGCCGCAAGGGTTGGGAGACGGCGGCCCTGGCGAGCGGCGCCGGCAGGGGTAGCGGGCCCTCCGCCTCCATCGGTGAACGAGCTAGGATAAGTAAATAGGATCGAGGACGGCTTCTGGCCAGAGAATCCGCCTTTGCATCGCTGCCGGATCAGCGCGTCCGAGGCCCCGTTCATGTGCCAATGTTTGTTTCACTTAGAGTTCGGGCCATTACCAGGTGAGCGTCCAGCGTTTCCCCCGCCGGCAGGCGCTCATCTTCGCCTCCGCTGGGGGGTTGGCCAAGCAGGCGAGAAATCTCTTCGGGGGGGGGGCGGGGGCCCGAGATCGAAGCCTCGGCGCAACCCCTCGGGAGGGCAGTTCCCCAGAGAGCCAGGCGAGTCGAACAAGTAGCGTCGCTTTCAGCCGTGGGGCGAGAAAATCGGGGAAGGGAAGGTGCATGAGCGCGAGCTTCCGACGGTCCGCGAGGATGTCTCGAACCTCGGCCAGGCACCCCCGGCGCCGCCCCGCGCCCTGCGCTCCAGGGAGGGGGGGGGGGTCCAGCGCAGATCCGAGAGACCCGCGCGGCACCTTGAAAACTCACGTTAGTTTTGCTGTTCGCTGCTCTAGCAGGGCGAGAGGAAGGCCCATTGCCCCCGCCAGAGGGCGACGAAGCACCGCGGCGCGACGCCGATCGTACTTCGAATCTCCTGGACTCTCGCCTCGCGGAGAGTGTCCGGCGCGATGGGGCGCCGCGCCACAAGTTGGGCGTTCTGACCGTTGCGCGCGCGGCTTGCGGGGCCATCTGCCCGCGCGCCCACCGCTGCCAGACGCCGCCCAGAAGGCGGCGAGAAGCCCCGCCGCGAGCGGCGCCGAGTCGCGCCGCATTCCCCGCGCGCAGCGCCACCAGTCATCGCGCGGCAAGCGGGGCCTTGGCCCGCAGCATTGCGACGCAGATTTAGCGGTGCCGCCGTTGGGCTCGGCGCTGTTGATGCCTGGTCGCCCTCATATCCCCGTGCAGTCCTGCGTGCGCCAACAATGGCGAACGGCGAGAAGGCGCGCGCATCTTCTCCCAGAATGCAACGGCGCAGACTTCGCGCTGTCGCCCAGGGAGCTGTCGCGCCACCTAGCCGCGGCTCGATCGAAAACAGCATTGCGCACGAGTCAAAGTCGGAGGGTCGAAAGCGCGCCCGCGCGCTCGCTGGGCCTGAGGCCGCGGACTGCTCTGCAGCTGCACTCGCCAAGGGGGATGGGGCGCGGGCTACTCGGCTCCTCGGGGGCGCCCTGCCCCCTGCCCGGGAAGGCAGGGGCGGCTGTGTCTCCCCGATCTAGCGCTGTCTGCGCGGCCTTGCTCGGGCGGGGCGCATTCTGGGGAGGCGGCGGACGGCGACGCTCTGTCAGTCCGTCCGCAGTCGGCCGCTGCCGCGCCGAACGCGCGCCCGCCCCGGAGGCGACTCGCGGCGAGCAGCGGGGTGCTTTGAGTCCATCTCTCTGGTTGCATGCGCTCCGCCGATAATTGAGAGGCAGTCGACAGTTCGGGCCGCGCGCGACTCGACCGGGCATCTCTGGGATTCTGGACGGCCTTGTTGGGCGCCGCCTGCAATCCACGCGGGGCGCTGCGCCCGGCCCCATCTCCAGCTCGGCCTCGGTCCGCAGTGCGCCCAGACGCGCCCGATGACCAGCGGCGGCGCCGATGCTGATCGCACCGACGACGATGGCGGCGCCCTCGCGTCGGCGACGGAGGTTTTGCAGGGATTTCGACGCGCGCGCGCGGCCGACGCGCCAAAATGGCCCGCGCGGCATTATTCGACGCGGATCGCGCGCCCCCCCCCCCCGCCCATCGCGCGCGCAAGGGCGTTCGAATGATTTCGACGCGCAGCGCGAGGGGTCCGTTTGGCAGAATTTAGTGAATGCGTCGAAGGGGCCCAGATTATGGCTTCTCAAGAATTCGCAAGGTCGCGAACTCAGGTTTATTTGTTGTTGAAAACTGATGTTGCAACGCCATGTGTTTTACAAGTCGTTAGAGACACTCGATTCCGAAATAGTTTCGAAGCCGCGGGTGGTTGAAGGGTTCCAGCACGCGCGCGCAACGACGCGCCCGCGCGAGCTTCGCCTCATAGATTGCAAGGGTGTCCTGAGCGATTTCGACGCGCGCGCGCGAGGGGGCCCGCCCGGCATCAAGTTAGAAAGAATGCTGAAGAACAGATGATTCCCTAAGAATCCGCAGTCGACCCGACCGCGTTGTACTTCTTGGCAACAGAATTGCGAGACCATGCGTGCTGTTTATGCTCCGGGGCACTCAATTTTGAGTTCTTCGCGACACCGAAAGGTTTTCGAAGGATTCGGGCATGCGCAAGAGGCGACGCGCGCGCGTGCACTTCGTTTCATTATTGTGCTGGAGAGTTTGTACCACTTATGAGTTTTGATTAGCGAACGCGCCGGCATCGTACCGTTTGCCTAGGGTATATGAGAGGGGAACCGTTGCTGGCCTCCCTGGGATAGCGCGAACTCATGCTTAGGATAGGCTACGAGGCAGAAGCATACGTAAAATGCAATACGAAAGCGGGAGCGGTTGAGTCCAGGGGGGGTCATACTATTATTTGAGACAGGAAAACCTGGCGGTGCGAAATAGGTGGACACATTCCACGCCCTTGAGAACATCCCACCATCTACCCGCAACTTGGTTTGAAAACCCATGCGGCGGCGAATGCGATGAGTGTTGGGCGTTTGCGGGCGCATGTGCGCGGCCGCGCTTGCTCTCGCACGTCCGCGCGCGCAGCGGCAAGTTTAGTTTAGCGCGACCGACGTTGCCGCTGTGGCGCTGTCCGCTAAGCATTTCCCAGCGGGCGCACCAGTGCGAGTCGGCGACTTGGTTGGGCGGGCGCGTTATCATGGCGGCGCCCACATAGGGAGACGCGATCATAGGAGCAGCGACGACGACGGCGGCGACGACGACGGCAAGGCCAATGGCGGCGCCGATGTTGATCGCGCCCGCCGATCACGATGACGACGCTTGTGTCGGCGATAAAGGTTTTTGGAAGTTCAACGCGCGCGCGCGAGCGCGCGCGAGTGGCTCGCGCGGCATTATTTCACGCGGATCGCGCCCGCCCCCCCCCCCCAGCGCGCGCGAGGGCAGGATTCTCGCGACAGCGCGCGCGCAGGTGCGTTCGAACGTTTTCGACGCGCGCGGAAACAGGCCCTCGTGGTAGCATATTATGAAGATGCTGATCAACCGCATATCCCCTTAAGAATTCGCAATAGCGCGGGCGCGGGCGTTTTTGTTGTTTTCGGTATTTCGGCACCATGTTCCTTTTATGTTTCCAGGGCACTGGGTTTGGACATCCCGGCGAAACCGTCAGTGTTTTGGATTTCGGGACAACGCGCACGCGTGCACGTCGTCTCATGCGTTGCAAGGGGTTGTTGAGAATTCGCGATTTACGTTCATCGAGCGCGCGCGTTGTAGTTTTTTCGAACAGGATGAGGGGGGTAACCGTGCCAGCTTGCCTGGGATGGCATGAGCTCATATGTCGGATGGACGATGGGGCAGATTTGCATGCACACTGCACTGCTAAGAGGTGGCCCGTGAACGGGGGGGGACATCCTAATATTGCGAAGGCCTTGCGGTCGGTGCCGCCGACCCTGATAACGACGAAATTGAAAACGAGGGTGGGGGCCGGGGAAGGAGGATGAGTGGGACTTGGAGTAAGGGTGGAGGAGGTGGATGAGGGAGGAGGAGGGGGGAGAAGGATGTGGAGAAAAAGCAAAAGGAGGAGAGGGAGGCCGAGGAGAGCAGGAGGAGGGGGAGCAGAGGGGGGGGGGAGGAGGAGGAGGCGGAGGAGGAAGACGAGGAGGCCAGAGGCTTTCTTGGGACAGCCTGGGGCTCTCGCGAGGCCGTCTCAGGCCGTCCAGGGCTCCTCTTGCGCCGTCTCGAGGCACTCTTGGAGGCCTCCTGGGTAAGTTGGGGTTCCCCTGGGCTGTCTTGGGGCAGTTTGGGGGCCCCTTGGGAGCCTCTTGGTGCCTCTTGGGGTTTCTTCGGGGCCTTTTGGGGGCCCCTGGGGGCTGAGAGCTCGAAGTGTCCGTTCGGGTCCCCCGTCTGGGCACTCTCCCGGGGCCGTCTTGGGGGCCTTTTGGGCCGTCTTGGAGGCGTCTTGGGCCGTCTTGGGGCCCTCTTCGGCCGTTAGGGGACCCTTTTGGGGGCCTCTTGGGTCGTCTCGGGGCGATTTGGGAGGCCTGTTGGGCCGTCTTGGCGCGTCGGGATGCGGAAGAGGCAAGAACGCTAAAATCTGTCAAACACGTATGGGAAATCCATGAATTTTGCCTCTTGGGGCTCTCGTGGGAAAGCTCCTGGAGGCCTCTTGAAGCGGTTTGCAGGCCTCGTGGGCCGTCTGGAACCGCCAAGACGTCTTGGACAGATCGCTCGGCGATTCGGGCTTCTCTTGAACTGTCGTTGGGGCCTCTTGGGGCACTCTTGGCCCGTCTTGGAGTTTTTTGGGGCTCCGGGACTCCCAGGGGGGCGTCTGACCCCCCTCTCCCCAGGACCCCCCCCCTCACTTTCCCCCACACATACCCGGCGGGGGAGGGATCGAAGGGAAGGGGCTTCCCTTTGACTCAATTACGGCGTTACTCAACTTCGCTTTGGCTGGCGCGCTGAGGAGGTCCCTGGGAAAGGGGGGAGCTTCGACGAGCCCAGGGAAAGGGGGGAGGCAGGGAAAGGGGACGACAGAGACGACGACCAACGAAAGACGGAGGTGACGACTTGAACGGACAAGCCCCTCACACACGCCGACAGGGTCGGCGGAGTCACGGGGGGGGGGCATCCGAATATTCTTATAGAATAGAGAACTCACCCTGCCAGCCTGAAGCTGCAAACTATTTGTCCCAGCCACCCACCCGAAACTTGGTTTGCAAACCTATGCGGCGGCGATTGCGATGAGTGCTTGGCGTTGGCCGGTGCATTCCTGCGGTCGCGCTAGCCCGCGCATGCTGGCGCGCGAGCGGCAAGCTAGTTTGGCGCGACCGACGCAGCCGCGGTGGCGCTGGCCGCTGGGTTCAGCGCGAGTCGGCGACTTGGGCGGGCACTGTATCATGGCAGCGTCGACGACAGTAGACGCGATCATGGCGGGCGGCAGCGATGCTGGTGACGATGGCGACAACGACGACGGCGAGGCCAATGACGGCGCCGATGCTGGCCGCACCGACGACGATGACGGCGTTTTCGCGTCGGTGATCAAGGTTTTGGAAGCACTTCGCCACGCGCGCGCGGCCGACGCGCGAGAGCGGCCCGCGCTGAATTATTTGACGCGCGCCCTCCCCCCCTGAGCACGCGCGCGAGGGCGGTCGAATGATGTCGACATTCGCGAGAGCGCGAGCGTAAGACTTGTTCCAAGACTGATGTTGCAAAACGATGTGTCTTTTGTGTTCGGGGCACTCGGTTTTGAACCCCCTCCGAAACCGAATGTATGTTTCAAGTACATGCGCGCGCGACGACGCGCGCTCGTGCATTTCGTCCCGTTCGTTTTGAACAGCTTTTTCTTTGCGACTGCCTGCGCACGAGATTCCCGCGTGGCAACATGTCATGAACATGTTGAAAACCGATGGTTCTTTCAACAATCTGCAAGTGCGTGAGCGTTTTTTTTTTGGGGGGGGGGTGAGCTCTCGCGTTGCGAAACCATGTGTGTTTTATACGTGCTCGGGGCGGTCAATTTGAAAATCCCTGCGACTCCTGAGGTTTTTGAAGGATGCCGGCAAGCGCGCGCAACGACGCGCGCGTTCGCCGATGGCTTCTGTTGTTGTTCAAAAAGGTTCTTGAACATTGTTTTCTACATAGGTGTTTAAATTTAATGAGAATTATGTGCGCGCGTGATTTATTTCGAAGAGGAAGAAAGGGGGTACCCATACCAGTTCGCCTGGGATGGTATGAATTCATATGCCGGATGGACGATGGGGCAGAATCAGACGTGAATTGCAATACGAAAAAGGGGGCGTGAATGGGGGGTACATTCTGATATGTTTGTTCAAACAGGAGAATTGACGTGGTGCAATTCATGATGTGAAACCCACGGCGTGCATTGTATGTGTTTCAATCGGTCTTGTGCGATATGTGTGGTGCAGTGTATGTTGTGCACTATACACTGTGCAACCTATGCGTTGCAATGGCTGTGGTGCGATTGTGTTGCGCAACCTATGTTGTGCAAACGATGTGTTGCCCTGTATGTGGTGCAATATATGTGGTGGAACATGTGTTGCGCATATTGTGGGGAGCATTTTATGTGATGCAATATATGTTGTGTGACATATGTGGCGCGATCGATGTGGAGCGTATGATGTGGCGCAACGTGGCGCAATATATGTTATATGACGTATGTTGTGCAGTGTATGTTGCGTGGTTGATGTGATGCATTCCATGCGGTGCAGTATTTGTTGTTTGTTGTACCGTCTGCGTTGCACAGTATATGCGATGAACTCTAAGTGATGCAATAGATGCGCTTCAATATATGGCGAGTTGTCTACGTGGCACAGCATATTTTGGACATTTACATGGAGGTACCTGTGTGGCGGCGGCGACGTGGCGACAGGGCGGCGACGGCGACCACACAGCCGCCAGACTGGCCACACGGCCCAGTCGACGGGAGGCGCGAGGCGGCGACGGGCTGGCGACGGCGACCACATAGCCGCCTGACCGGCTACACGGCCCAAACGACGGGCGGCGACGGGACGGCGACGGGGACAACATAGCAGCTACACCGACCACGCGGCACAGACGACGGGCGGCCACGAGGCGGCGACGGGGCAGCGCTGGCGACAACAATGCCGCCAGACTGACTCCACGGGCCCAACTCTGTCAAGAGATGTAAGAACCCCTCAGTGCGACCATTGTTTGGGGAATATATCCACGCATGGACTGTGCATCAGCCAATCTAGGCTTGTGGGACGCAGCTTGTGGCCCTTGGAGGGCTCGACGCAGTAGCTGTGTTCAGTTCGGCGCCCTCGTCCCCTCCCCCTCCGCCCCACCGCCCGCCCGATAGGAAGAAGACCACCGAGGTGGTGGGCACCGACGGGGCTGCGAAGCCGAGGAGGACGAAGGCTCGCGAGGCCCTGCCGCGCGCAAAAGGGGTCTGGGGCCATAGGGGCGGCAGTCCGGGCGCCAGCTGCCCGCCTGAGACTGCACCTCCCTCGCCCTCCCCTCCTCTCCCATCCCCTCCCCTCCCCTCCCCTCCCCCCCTCCCTCCCCCCCTCCTTCCCCCCCTCTGGGGTCGGAGTAGGTGTGTGGCTGGCGCCCGCTGGCGGGGAGCAGCACCTCTGGGAGAGCCGTTTGCCCAGGCCCCGCCGCGCCGAGGCAAAGAGCACAAAGGGGGTTGTCCGGTTCTGCGGTGTGTTCCGCTTCCGGGGGGGGGGCCCCCGCGCAGCCCCGGGAGCGCCAAGACCAGCTCGGGGCGACCAGCTGGCCCTGGAGAAGGGGGCGGGATGTCCAGGGACTCCGTATGGAAAAGGCCCCAGGAGGCCCAGGGCCGCGCTGAGCCACCCTGAGCCAGCATCACCACCGGGGCAACCTCCGACCTGGCGGAAGGCGGGCCATTCCTTTGCAAGGGGTACCCCCGATGTCTTCGAGGGTTGACTTTCCCGGGCGGGTCCAGGACGAGGATGCATCCGTACTGGAGCGCTTCGGAACGCCCTCGGAGGGTTCCGAGGCGCCTTGAGAAGTCCACGCCGCTCGAGACGCTCTGCAGAGCCGCTGGCTCTCCGAGATTCTCGATTACAGTCGGTCAGAGCCCCGAATCCTCAGGGGTAACTCGGGTCGGGGATAACTCGGGTTCCTTTTTCGGGAATCCAAACCCGAGTTACCCCGGGCCCGAGTTGCCCCGGATAACTCGGGCGCCCAAGTCGGACCGAGGTATCAGATGGAGGTCGGCTTGGGGCTTGGGGAGGGTAATGGAGGATGACGATTAATCAATGACGGGGGGTCGTGTTCACGCGGCGGTGCCCGGGATGACGGTTAGAAAAAACCGGCCGCGGGCTGGAAAACTATTCTTTTTAAAAAATCGTTCTCCTCCAGTCAGAATGACTGTGCAGAAGCAGCAGACAACTATGTTTTTAATCGTTCTCTCCAAATGTTTAATGAATCGTCATCCCGAGGGTACCCTCCTGTTTTTGTTTGGATGTTTCTTGCACATCCCGGTGGAGGGTTGCCCTTTGGATGTGCTCTATGTGGTGTGGCGGGCGGAGGGCCGATCGTGGTGTCTTGAAGGACGCTCTTGGCCTCGTCTTGCCTCGGCTTCGCCTTGCCTCGTCTTCGTCGTCTTGCCTTGGCTTCGTCTTGCTTCGTCTCGGCTTCCTCTCGCTTGGCTTCGTCTTGGCTTCCTCTTGCCTCTTGCTTGGCTTCCTCTTGCTTGGCTTCCTCTTGCTTGGCTTCCTCTTGCTTCGTCGTGCTTCCTTGGCCGATGCCTTCCTCGCCCTGGGCCTCGTCCTGCTTGGCTTCCCCTCGCGCCCCGCCCTCGCCCGGCCCGCGCTTCGGAGAGGCGGCGGGGCCGGCGCGGCCCGAGCCTGCCCAGAGGGAGGAGGGCCTGCAGGGCGCTGCGCGGGTGCTCGCGCCCGAGGACTGCGGGGGGCCGGAGGGGGTGGCGCTCACTCCGTCGTCCTCTGTAAGCCTCGGGGGCGGACCGATCCCCTGCCCTGACACGTCGATTTAAGGAATTGGCCGTTTTCGGTTCGCTCACTCATCAGGAGGGGAAACAACACACAGACACAATGAATCGTCGATTCCAAGGAAAATATGGGAAAATATGGCAAGTGGGGGGGAAGACAAAAACCGAGAAAACATGGGAAACTATGGGGGAGTTTGGTTATTCGTGTGTATTTATTTGTGTGTCCCTGGGCCTCTTTAACGCAGTCGTCCTCTGTAAGCCGGGGGTGGACAGACCTCCTGCCCTGACACGTCGATCAAGGAATTGGCCGTTTTCGGTTCGCGAGAGGGCGTCGCGGCCGTCATTTCTGCGGGTCCAGGTCCGTCGGTTTTGATCCCAGGCCGTTTTCACCAAGTGGAGGTTTACTAAAGGGAGGTTTGTCCACCGCCGATAAGCCGGGGGCGAAGAAGAGGCAGTCGGGGCGAGGTGCAGGAGCGAGGTCGGCTCGGGGAGGGCACCCTCGTGCACTTCGTGCCTGTTGGGTGCTCTTGTGCATCCTGGGGGAGGGTGCGCTGGGCTGTGCTTTGCATTCTTTGGCTGGCGGAGGGCCTCGTGTTCTTGAAGGATGTTCTTCTGGCCTGGGCCCGACTGTATGCCCATACCCATGCCTTGCCTTCTTGGACCTCTTGGGGGGTCTTTGTCACCGTGGCTCAATTGGCCTCGGAACGCTCGTCAGAACGCGCCCCCATGAGAGGACAGGCGTGCAGCTGATTCGTTTGATGTCTTCTATGTGCTTCTGTACACAGATCCACATACATGTGTGTATGTGTGTATATATATATGTACATATGGTCGGTCTCCCCCCCCAGCCACCCCCCGAACAGCCAAAACCACAAAACTTCAATTGATCGTCTCTTATGTGTTGTAATGCGCTTGTTGTTGCTGCTTGTGCCGGGAACAATGTGGCGGTTTACGCCTTAATTTCTTGAGAGGTGGATTGCGCATTGATTTGTTTGAGGTGGCTTACACATTGAGTTTTGTGTCGTTTTCCCATCAAGGGGATCTTATGGTATTCCTACACTAGGAACTTCACTGCATGTCCCACAAAAGGAATCCGCTTGTAATCACCCACAGAAGAAATCCGTTTGCAACTGTCCACATGAGGATTCCAATTGAAATCCGCCGCAAAAGACATCCGATTGCAATCCCCCACACAAGGAATCTCATTATTAGATTACGCAAGAGGAACCCGATTGAAATCCGCCGCATGGGGAATCCATTGCAATCCGCCGCATGGGGAGTCCGATTGAAATCCCTTCTAAGAGGAATCGTGTTGCAATCCTCCACAAGGGGAGTCCCCCCGAAAGACGCCACACCTGGAATCCGATTCGATCCCTGAAACTTCGAACGTGCAAGTGCCCTGTTAGTATTTTGTTGCTCATTGTCCTGGCTTTCGCTGTGCAGGCAAAGGGAAGTTTTGGTCCAAGGATTAACACACACTTGTGTGTTTAGTTCTCCGCCTTGGATTTTGCCGTCCAGGAGCAAGAAACTCAAGGTCGGCCAATATATGCCCAGAAAGCCGAATCGTGGAAACACGTTCGCCGACACTGATACCTAGACGCAGAACACAACACAGGTGTTTGTAAATCTGAAATCCGAGTTTCCGTGCACAGCGAAAGCTAGAACAAGAAACAACAAAAGGAAACAAATAGCACTAAGCAAGCAACACAGCAACACGTTTCCCAAGGTATTTTGATTTTCTTGATTTCATTAAAGCGTTCAGATTCCTTTTGTGGAGGGTGTCCGTTAGATTCTTTCTGTGGGGGATTACAAGGCGGTTGGTTTTTTATGGAGGAGTTCAGCAGGATTCGTTTTGTAGGGGGTTCCAATCGGATTCCTTTTTTGCAGAGGATTGCAATATGTTTTGTTTGTGGTGCTCTTCGACAGGACTCATTGTGCGGAGGAGTGCAATCGGTCGCGGCCGACTGCAACTGTTACGATTAACAATTACGTTTTTCGCTAGTATTACCAACACTCGTATCAATTGTTGCTGCTACTATTACAACTGCTGTCCGGATCGTTTTCCTCGTCTCTTCTTCGTCCCCCTCGTCTCCTCCTCTTCCTCTTTCTCGTCTCGTCCTTTCCTTAGTTGTTTACCCCCCTCCTCGTTTCCTCCTCTTCCTCTCTCTCTCTCTCCCTATCTCTCTCTCTCTCGATCTTTCGCTGGCCACCGTAGTATCGCACTGCCGCTCGAGCGCTTTCGAATGCGATTTGCGTGGACGATCTGTCAGTTTCCCCCCATGGGCCGCGGCCTGCTCTAGTATTACTACACTTAATATTATTGCGGACATTTTCTTTAAACGTGATAAGTTTGACGAGGTGTGTCCGTTTAGTGATTATCCGTAAGGGCTTCGCCGCCATGCCGCCGGCCCCCCCTCTCTTAGAATGGGACTTGCCAGAGCTGTGTTAGGATGTCTAGACGCTGGCGTGAAGCAGTGCCGGGATTTCACGCGAAGGTCAAGATTAATTTACGAGGGTGTATGGCTTCGATGGCGCGAACATGTTTTGTAATTTGCAATGGTGTATGGTTTCGGGGACGCGAATATTGTATAATTTTCGAGGGTTTGCTGTTACCTCGGGGACGCAAAGATCGCATACTTTACGAAGGTTTACGGCTTCGGGGGCGCACATATTGCATAATTTACGGGTATTGTATAATTTGCAAGGGTTTGTGGCGTCGGGGCGTGTTTATTGTAGAAGTTACGAAGGGTTCTGGGGACGCGAATATGGTATAGTTTCCGAGGGTTTATGGTTTCGGGGGCGCGATTATTCCGTAATGTACGAGGATGTATGGCTTCGGGGGCGCGAGTGTGGTATAATTTACAAGGGTGTATGACTTCGGGGGCGCGAGTGTCGTCTAATTTATCAAGTATTTTGGCTTCGGGTGCGCGAATACGGTGTAGTTTGCGAGGGGCTATGGCCTCTGGGACGCGAATGTCATGTATTTGTCGGCGTCCCACGACCCCCCAGGAATTCAGACAACGCGATTCGGGGACGCTGACCAGAATGCTTTTCGGCTCCCCCCATAGCGCGTTCAGCAACAATTAACAGTAAGGAGACAGAAAGCAGGACTGTAACAGTGGAAACTGGAAACTGCAACTGGCACAGGGCACAGGGAGCTGCAAACCTAAGCTTCGCAGCCTGATGGCCCCGCAATGGGGGCCCGCGGATAATTCGTTTAGACCGTGGTGGAGGCGTGGTTCGCTCTAGCTGACCCATGCGACAGCCGTCAACTCCACCTGACCGACCCACCGACCGAACGATGACAGTTGGCGTCGACCGACGAATGACAACGACGGCGACGACGACCGACCGGCCGACCGAACGAATGGCCGAGCGACCCAACGGCCGAGCGACCGAGCGATCGACGACGACCGACCGAGCGATCGACGACGACGACGACCGACCGACTGGCCGACCGAGCGATCGACGACGACGACGACGGCGTCGACCGACCGAGCGATCGACGACTATGACGACCGACTGGCTGGCCGACCGAGCGATCGACGACGACGGCGTCGACCGACAGCGACGGCCGACGGACAACGATGACGGCAGCGACCACCGGCCGACCGACCGACCGACCGACCGACCGACTAACGAGGCCGACGACCGAACGACGACCGACGGACGACAACGACAGACCGACCGACCAACAGCGACGAACGACGAGGACGAGACGGAAACCGTTGCAAAGTTCTTGGGAGGCCAAATCTAGAAGGCCGACCGCGACCAGCCCAGGCCAAATTCTAGAACGCGCGGGCCAGGTCAAATGGTAGAATGGAGCGTTTTGAGGACGCCCCCTTCCGGAGACGTACTCATATATGATTGAGGGGCAGTTGAAGGCGAACGTGCCTTTTTGGGCTCCGAAACCTGAAAAACCCGCTGGTTTTGAAACCACCCGATGGGGCCGAATGAGCCCGAATGAACCCGAATAAGCCATGAATGAACCCCCGAATGTACCAGAATGTACCCCCGACTGAGCCCTCCCAAGCGCCCCAGACGGACACCGAGTCAAACCCCCAAACGTCGTCGTCGTTGTTAGTCGGCCGTCGCCGGGAGTCGTTGTTGTCGGTCCGACGGTCGTCGTCGGTCGTCGTCCTGAGTCGGTCCGACGGTCGTCGTCGTCGTCCTCATCGTCGTCCGTCGTCTTCGGTCGGTTTGGCTACGGATGCAATGAGGTTGAGAACATGACGTTGGACCAAAATCTGCCCAACATGGAAAGCTCATGAAATTTTCATTACGAACAAGAATCACCTGACTGCACTACATATCTCTGCCGCGGGGAACCTGGCTGCTGACACGCGGGGGGGAGGTAGGCGGAACTGACGTGGGAGTTCGGGCTACTGGTCTGGACGCCCGAAATGGGTACTGAAAGAATGGGTACTATGCCCAATAGCAGTTCCTGTTCATTCTGAACAGGATTCGCTGTCCACGCCGCCGCGGCCTGTGTCCACTCGAGACAGAAGGCCGCCTGCCCAACAGCGGCCGCAGTTGGTTTGGGACAACATTTGTTGTTGGGCATTGTGCCCATTCTTTCGGTACCCATTTCGGGTGTCCAAAACTGGGGAGGGGGCCTGACACTGATCGGATTGATGCGATGCCGCGCATGGTGCGCAGGCGCGCGCGCGCAACCCCCTAGTGGTTGTCGGCCTCGTCGGCGACGGCAGAGCGGACCTCGCGGGTGCCTGCGTGTAAGAAGTTATCTCAGCAGCAGCGGCAAGCAGTCGCTTCCTCGCCTCCTCGGCTCGAGCAGGTAGACAGCAGGTGGAGATGCTGTCATTTCGAGTGCATTGTTCCCAGCACGAGATTCTTTCGGTTTGCGCTTTCAAAGTGTGTGGGCCCCCCGGGATGCGAGACTCGTGGGGCCTTGGGTTTATTCTTGTATCTGGTCTGGAGCATGAGGTTCACCCCGCC